AAAAGTCGGTAATATGAAAATAGTCTATTTTAAAATGAAATAAGGTATCACATGTTCACTTTATGCAACTGGTGAAACATAATGAAAAAAAAAACCAGCTTTATTTAAATGTTCTTGTCTAATTAATCATTGCAAGTGTATTTCTGTAAATAATGTTGCTGTTAAAATTTTGTTTTTCAAATAGTAGAGGCAGGGTAGTTAAGTCTTCAAAACACATTTTATTTGTATCTTTAGGTAAAGCAAGGATTGCAATTGGGTAAAGCAGATTACATCAAATCAAAACTTAAAGTATTCGGCCCATAATTAGAAAATATACAACAAGCAAAATAATTTACATTTTTATCAAGGGTTGTAAGTAGGGGGTTCTAAGAATTCTTACTATGAAATAAAAATCCGCAAAATATTTCAGGTTAACAACAGAGTTGGGTTACAGTGCCCCCCTTTTTTGTCCTCAAATGTCATAAGTAGAGTTTTAAATAGTATGTAATTTTAAGAAAACTATATAGTATGATTCACTTATCTATCTTTTAAAAGGGACCTTACATTTAACCTTGTCAAATTTCACCAAAAAAAAAATGTAATTTGCTATTCTATTTTTAGAAATGTGTTAATGTTACTAAAAATGGAAAAAGAAGAAAAGTCTAAATTGTTCAATCTTATATTTTCACCAGTTTAATGTTAAATATTTTAGCAGAGCATTCAAAATTGACATTTAAATTACTTTTACATATTGTTCTTTCCTTTAGAATATAAGAAACTTTTATCGTACTGATTTCGAGAAATTTTGATTTATAATGTCATGGTCATATTTACTAAATGGAGACTTGATATCACAGTTCTGTTGTTTTTTGGTAAAGTTCATGTAAATCTCTATCAAAATTTAACATACTTCATATAAACCTTTAATTAGAATAAACTCTGATATCTATGGCATGTTAAGTTCAAAAGGTCAAAGGTCAGGGTCATTTTGGGAGCTAAAATTCGTCAATAATCTCTTTTTTTCCTAAACGTTCAAAAATATATCTAACTATAGGTCCCACAATCTTCGTTACCTTTGTTAATATGATGACCATTTGATGATATTCAAAAGATGAAGGATTGGTTTCAACCTTTAGGGGTCAATAGTTCACAGGTCAAATCATTTAAGAGCTAGAATTAGATAGCGACCTCCTTTTTTGCTAAATTTTCAAATGGAAATTTACCTATAGGTACCATAATCTTTCATTACATTTGTTAATTATGACCATTTGATGATATGTAATAGATAAATGATTAGCTTTAACTTTGAGGTTAAAGGTCAAGGTAATTTTAGGACCTGAAATAAGACAAAACTCTCCTTTTTGCTCATTTTTTTCAAAAGTAGGTTATTGAAACATGTCAAAAGTATGATAAAATAAAAGTATAGTACTTAGTATACATATTTATATACTTTTATTTCTGTATGCCCTTGAAAAATTTGACCCTTTGACCTAAGGGTTGAAGCCAATCCTTCATCTATTGAATATCATCGAATGGGACCATTTGGTAAAAATATTTATTTCAGCAACATGGTATAAATACATGTATGGATATATGTCATGTTTGTATGTGTATGTTAAAAATAAATAATGTGTAATATAGTTGCAAAATCATGGGTTAATGATTTTGAAGAATGTAATCATAGAAATATTTACGGTTTTGCAACATATTTCCGATTTTGTCCTATTTGTAGCACAGGACATCACATGAACAGCATCAGGCTTTATTGAATGTAGAGGATGCATATGCTTTTATTTCATACCAGCATTAACTAGAACTCACTAAAGGATACCCCATCATTCCTGTCCCACATTGAACTCAGTTAGATCAATTATTTCCCTTGAAATATTTTTGATCAGGTTTATACTCCTTCATGCACATAATAAATACTAGAAATCTTCTATAATTATATTCAATAAACTCAATCACATTTCAATATTTATTTGCAAATTATAATGATTTTTTTAAAAGAAAGTATAATCATGGTCATGATGGTTAAGAGGATACAAATAAATATGATCATATTTATATAATCAATATAAAGACTTTTTTCATAAGATATGTCAGTAAAGCAAATTCTAATTGAATTACAAATACATTTTCAGTTTAGAAAAAAAGAAAAGCTTACAAGAGTGGACACACAGAAATGTCATACCTTTTTCAGTGTTCATTATTGACTTATGTTGAAATTAAAAAAAAAAATATTACACTAAAAGTATTAGTTCTATTACATTAAATTAGCATTCCAATGCTCAATGTATTTGAGATCAAGGTGAGATAAAATGTAGATACATGAAGGCTGAACAACCATTTCATACAACAAATTTGGTTTAAAACAAACCACATCAAGAAAACTGAACTTTGAGGTCAATGTGAGAAAAAAATGTAAGCACAATTCAATTTTAAATGGTAGCAACTTTTAGAAAAAAAGTTTATAAAGTAATTTATGAGTTCACAGAAAAATAATGCATAATTAAAAAATTTCGAAACACAGATCTATAATTGAAATATCAATTTCTACACTTTTTGTTGTCCAATCAATCATGTAAGGAAAGTCACAACATGTAACAAACCAATTTAAGCTGAAGGTTTGCTTATCACTAATCGATAATAAGTTACATATACATTTATAATAAGCAAAAACTGCTCAAACATAGTACTAAAGTATAGATTGTAATACAAGTCAAGACAAAAAAAGATCATTTCTTCAAGGAATCTCACAATTCTGTAAACATCTTGCCCATTTTTTGTACCACAGAACACATTAATTTTTTATCATTTGAAACTCTTGGCTTACCACAAGCATTTTTAGACATAAGAACATCAATAAGTCCATCTTCTCCTTTACGAACATAAATAAGTTTCAAATGAGCACAATTCAAACCTGATCCAGCAATATTCTCTGCCGTTGTCATTTTCATTACACCACTACACTACAAAAGTCAAAAAGTCTGAAAAGACCAGTTTTTGTCTAAATTTGCATGAATTTTTACTCGACATCCTTAATTTGTCTGAATAATTTTTAAAAATTCTTGACATAGTATGAATTTGTCTAATAAGGTTCTTGATTTTTCTTGACAAGTGTCTTGACAGTATGTCTTAAAATTTCTCGAAACTTCCTGTATCATCTGATTAGAGTCTGGATTAGTCTCGACCAATTTTTGACTGTCTTAAATTTGTCTCGATCTGTCTTGACATATTCTTGACATTCTTAATAATGTCTGAATATGTCTCGACATATTCTTGACATTCTAAATAATGCCTGAATATGTCTCAACACATTCTTGACAGTCTTAAATATTTCTTGACACTATCTCAACAGTATAAATTTCGCCTGAAATGTGAACAGACTTATTCTGCACTGTTTATGACATTCTATTGCTGTTATATACTCCTTTTTATTATGGCTAAACTAAACTTTGAAGAATCAAGGATTAATTTGGTATATATAGTAAGATACCCTTTTGATGCAACTAAGTTGTAATACCCTGAATAATCCCCAATGTGGTTTAATTTTGATTTATTTTTATTAAACATTTAAGTAATTGTTTTCACTTGGAATATAAGTAGAAGGTATGGACAAACAGCATTTAGATTTTTGCCGTTCGCAAAACTGCCAGTCAAATTTGCTTTACTAAAATAGGTGTCTTGTATCTCTTTTGGACCCCACAATTCATCTTTTGGGTTTGTGTAGCTAAACAAAGAGGGGGGGGGGGGGGCTTTCGTTTAGGTCAAAGAATTTGTTCCCATCTTGATCCAAAACCTTATTCATTTTTTAGAACAACCCAAAAACATTTTTTATTCAAATTTGAGTGTTGAATTTTATAATTTTTTTTATCAAAAATAAATATTAATAAATAATAAAAAAAAACTCCTTCCTGAAAAGAAAAAAATGTTTAGATCTATATTATGTGTCTGTTTGAGAACCATTTCTATAGAAATCATTGATGGGACCCATTACAAATACATTTTTTTTATTATTCCTGGAGTAGATAATAATTTTCTTTAAATCTTTGGGAATTATTCAATTGGTTTTTATGTTAGAAAAATTAACTTCATAATTTTGATGAAGAAAATCCATTTCAATTCAATTTTTTTTCATCAAAATGATGATTTTCATTTTCATCTATCAACAAACTTTTGTATTGGCATGGTCGGTCAACTGATAAGTTGTATGGCTGATTACAGGTAAAGCAATAACTTCTATTTGACAGTTGCGTGTACTCTGGGGTGTAGAATACCTTAATTTTATGGGGAACATCCTGTCCATGTGTAATACTTAATATATTCCAACAGATGACATTACACAAATTTTTCTTCTGTTAAATGAATGATTTGTATATCATCATAATTTGCTATTTATATAAACCACATTTTGGTATAATAATTATTTACCATATCAACATTGAATATTATGAATGTAGAATGAAATATGTCTACAGTATGATTGGTTTGAATCATTTAATTTATAAGATTTAGGAATCAAAATTTGTAATTATTTAAAAACCCACATTGAAATTGTTTTATATCAACACAACCACATTTGAATTATTTTATACTTTAGATTTCATAGCCGTATTTGCATTTGTAAAAATATTTATAACTTGAAACAACAGTATATCATATAAAGAGAAATAAAGATTAAACTTATATCATGAATATTGGTCATGATTTGTAAAACTCAGAACTGTCAAGTAAATTTAAGACACGATTCAAAATGTTCAGAATATGTCAAGCCATACTGAGAAAAAAATAAGAATGCCGAAAATGTCGAGAAATTTCAAGACAGTATTCAAGGGTCAAGAATTTGTCAAGAAATTTTAAGACAATATTCAGAATGTCGAGAATATGTCGAGTAAATTTCATACAAATTTAATATAAATGAGAATTTGTCAAGAAAAATTAAGACACAAGTCATACTTTTGGAGAATGTCGAGTAAAAGTTCATGCAAATTAAGACAAAAACTGGTCTTTTTAGACTTTCAGACTTTTGTAGTGCTAGCAATAAGGGGATGAAAGCTTGGCAAGTTTTTAGCTTTTGCGTTGATGAAGTTTTCTTGCAGAAAATGAGAATTTGAATGGTAACACTGTTTAAGCAATAGTTCTGAAGTTACATTAGCAGCAATAAGTATTTTATCAAGCATATTTACATCATCTACAGCATTGTGTGCATTATATTCCTCCTTACAAAAATGTTGTGCTAAAAATGGCTGATTAAATTTTTCTATTTTTGGAAAGCCTGATCTAAAAACGGCCAATGAGTCTAAAAATCCCATTACAATCTGAGTAAAATTATCAAACATATTACAGCTATAAACAGCTATTGATAAAACCCGAAAATCAAAATTTTTCCCATTATGTGCTACAGCATTACTGAATTGATTTAACCACATTAAAAAATCAGATATGGCAACCTTTATATTAATAAAGTTTAGTTCAACCCCTTTGTAAAAAAGCTTTTGTCCATCCCAAACAATACCACTCACCTTTTCGGCATCATTTGACATTGGTAGCTGTGGTGGTATGTAACGGTTGAAACTGGTTTGTGTTTTGTGTTCTTTGGCAGCTATCTGTACTATGTGCGGAATAATATTTCTTCTGACTAAAAATATAAAGAAAATCAATGTTAAAATTTTTGTTTTTTTCCAAGATTATTGAGCTTGTTGAAGGTGCTAGTGATCATTATGAAATTGTGTTGGTGTTAGCAAGGGTCAAAAAACGGTCATATATGCCAGTCATGTCCTAAGATGAAACTATTTGTCCTAAACGAATAATTGGGATTTAGAACAAATTTAATTTTTTTAAAGAAGTAATTTCCGTCATTTCATTGACTCAATGTTTGAAATCGGATTTCTTAATCGCCATTTTGCCTGTCTTGTGTAAGTTGTGATCACTTGTTTTTGTTTATAATCCCTTTCCTGTAATAAAACTGCCACTCCAGTAGTTTGATAATCCTGAGGGCAAACCTAATATCTATATCAATGCCTCCGGGAATCATTGGCTAGTGATTGCTAATCACTTTTTACCTGTGGTTTTAATTCACACCTGACAATGATCACAAGCTCAGAATAATATCTTAACAAAAATTGAAATTCACTGACAAGTGTATTCATTATTCAATTACTTTTCAGCAAAGACAATCATCAAATCTGATTTAAAAATTAAACCTAAATTTACGGAGAAAAAAGTATTTTTTCATGTGCTTTATTTACAAAATGAAAGAACCTTAGTGAGCGCGCTCACCTACCCCACGTCCCCACATTGTCATTGGAGAAATTAAAAATAAGTGTAAGAAAAAAAAATTGTATCAGAAAAAAAAATTGAATCATAATTTCCCTTCAATATGCACATCTACATAGTATGTTCTTATTATCTACACAGTTTCATGAAATTCTGTTGTGTGGTTTGAGAGGAGTTGCGATGACAAAAGGTTGCAGTAGTATATTGGGCAAATAAGTTCAACGGGGCGTAACTCCTGGAAAAAAAATTGAATCGTAATTTCCTGTCGATATGCACATCTACGTAGTATGTCCTTATTATCTGAAAAGGTTTCATGAAATTCTGTTGTGTGGTTTGAAAGAAGTTGCGATGACAAAAGATTGCAGTAGTATATTGGGCAAATAAGTTCAAAGGGGCGTAACTCCTGGAAAAAAAAATTGAATCGTAATTTCCTGTCGATATGCACATCTACGTAGTATGTCCTTATTATCTGAAAAGGTTTCATGAAATTCTGTTGTGTGGTTTGAAAGAAGTTGCGATGACAAAAGATTGCAGTAGTATATTGGGCAAATAAGTTCAAAGGGGCGTAACTCCTGGAAAAAAAATTGAATCGTAATTTCCTGTCGATATGCACATCTACGTAGAATGTCCTTATTATCTGAAAAGGTTTCATGAAATTCTGTTGTGTGGTTTGAGAGGAGTTGCGATGACAAACTGTTGCAGTAGTACATTAAAGTAAATAAGTTCAAAGGGGCGTAACTCCTAGAAAAAAAAATTGAATCGTAATTTCCTGTCGATATGCACAACTACATAGTATGTCCTTATTATCTAAAAAGGTTTCGTGAAATTTTGTTGTGTGGTTTGAGAGGAGTTGTGATGACAAGAAATAGGACTGACGGACTGACGGACTGACAGACTAACGGACTGACAGACTGACGGACTGACGGACGGACGGGTCAAAAACATAATACCCTCCGCAACTCATTGCGTGGGGTATAATAATACGCATGCGTGAAATTGTCTTCAGCAAATTTAATATTTAATCGTAAAATGCGAATTGATTTCATGCTAAATTAAACGAGTGCAACTATTGTCTGTTACATTCAAACACTTTTAAAGGTAATAAAATAAAAAAGCCATAAAAAGCCGGTGATTTCCTGTGATAAACAAAACAAATCCCGGAAATGAATCCAAATTATTCGTACTTTAAATTTATCGCAAACTTCCAGTTTTAACTTTTATCAAATCGAAGAAACGTAAGCAATGTCTGAGAGATTTACCATTTTGAGTCATTAAAATCATTTCAATTTTAAACAATTGCCTTCCCTAAACTGTTCTTCATGGTAATGGTAAGACATTTACTTATTAAATGCGATGGAACAGCAATACAAGTTCATTGATGCTATGAATTTAGTCAAGTTGACATCGACAATCTGGAAAGGGGCACCAACTTTTCAATCATCTCAAAATGACCGAAATTGTGTGGAAAAATTTCCGGATCCTTGGGTGTTAGAATATTTTATCAATGTCATGTATGTTGAAGATATCCCTGCAACTTTTAAGATGAAGAACATCAATATAAGCATTGTTCCATTGATTAAAATTTGAATCAGGCTTAATATGTCTCATTGACGCACACCCAAATCCTTCCGTTTTCATATTGTCTACAGTATCCCTTTGTTACATAATTTATAAGGAACCTAGTGCAGTTATACAGATGACCTCTATTGTTACAATTAAGGAGCAATGATAAACAATGAAAGATATAATACAAAAGTTACCACTAGTTTTATATATATAGAGATTATTGTTGGTCTTCTTCACGAGATTGATTTTCTCACTATATGCGTTAACGTCGAGAGTGAGAAACACGATTGAGTGAAGACGACCGATTATAATCTGTTTATTGCTGTTTTGCCTATGACTTTAGTGACGCTTGCGTTGACAATGCTTAGAGATTAGTAATAGTTTGAATCATTATCGCTGTTTTTGTGCAATGAAACCTCTTGCTTTTGAACTTCAAAGGAAAAATTAACAAAACAGCGATAATCTAAAATTGATGTCAATGTGCAAGTAATTATTTTTAAAATTATTCTTTTTCCGTTTATGGTTTCAGAAAAATAATTACTCAAATCTGTAGTTTCTAAATCAATGACTACAAAGGTTGGGTTGATTAAAGAGGGCACTGCCGTATATAAAGGCTTTAAGATAGCATCTGGAATCCTCTCAATGTCCTCAGCTTGGTCACTAAAACTTTTTTCTATAAAAGATAACAAAACACATGCATTATGGTATTTATAAACAAAGGACCCTTTCCATCCATTTCTAAACTTTCTTTATACCAGGGATTATGTAACTGTTGATATTGCCTTACATTTGTATATATGTGACACTGTCTACCTTAGCATAGAAATTTGAATACTACTCAAATCGCAGCTAGGAGCCGTCTTGAAACTTGCATTGAGATGAGAATAAGTTCTCTATGTTAAAAATATCACTGTTATTTTCCGGATGTAGAACAGCAATAAAAGCGCTGTTCCTTGCCTGCAACTTATGTACTTTTTTTTGAACTTGCGTCAGGATCTTGTTAACCATATCCCTTCTAATCCATTACAATATATTCATGTTTTTGGAACAAAATTCCTAGTAAATCCCTATAAAAAAATCTTGACTCATATTGCACTCACCAGATTCATAGCTGGCTCCTTCTGTTGCTTCACATGCTCCTTTGGAGGTAGTTCTTTCTTCTTTTAGTTTTAAACGTCTTAATTTTTGTTCTGGTAGTTTTTTTTTTTTGCCTTTTTTCTCTTTCATTGTTTTTCTTTGAATTGTAAGGAACTGTAAAATTTCCAGGAGAAAGTCCATGTCTTTTGAATGTCTGTAAATACAAAAAAGATGTATATTTATCAAATATTTTGCTCTTGTATAATTACATCTTTAAAGATTTTTGACTTTGTTAGGGGGAGGCTCAATCTTCAATAATCAAATATAATTCAATAATTTGTTTTCGCCTTTATTCAAAATACAAAAAACAGGAGAAAAATTGTAGCAGAAGAATACGGATTTCATAATTTATAATGTTTGATCTTCAACACAGATTTTGTTTTGCTAAATAGTAATGCATTTCAATGATAAATCAAGGTTGTCATAACTATTAATCCCAGTATTTTAAAAAAAAATCTGATAATACCATTTTTAAATTTACAGATAAATTCAATTGTCCAATTGTAGAAATATATTAGCTAAATGATGAATTGTAATTAGATTTCCAATTGAAATACTCACTACATACAAAAAATTTTCTTGAAATCAACCTATGAAATGACACCATGCAAAGGAATGACATGCAAGATAAACAGATAAAGATAACATAAAAGTTTCATTTTGATTAACCTCAGACAAGTAGTTTCTTCCTTCATTAATACAGGCAGCAGAGGCTTTGACTCGAAAATCCAAGCTTTCACTCTCTCCATAGTGCAGATGTTTTGGAGCACGCAAGGAAGCTGCTCTATTTGCATGCTCACATGCCTGGCTAGACCCTAAATCTGAATAAGAAGCTGCCTTCGAAATGACTTGCTCAAAAAGGTTTTGCAGTTTTTCTCGTAAAACAGGATCTGATAGTGGAGCCTTGTATGGTAAGCTTCTGTGAAGGTATTTCACACCTGGTTGCCTTTTGTAGCCACAGAACCTGGGTTGACACAGGTTATGATCCCCAAACTGGTGTGGAATCAATGCTTCCAGGTTAATTTTTATGTCATCTGGTTGACCTTGATTTTTTGCAAAAACATACTTGATTGATTTTGTCAAATGTCTTATGACCACTGAGCTGCTAATTTTCAAATTCTTGGTTTTTTTTTGTAGTTCATATAATCTGGAAACAATGTTTTTAATGGTATGATTTTTGTCATATTTTTTGTAACAGTTAAATTAAGTTCAGATTTTAGCCTTGCTATCAATGTATTATCCCCATCTCCCTCGATAGTCTTTACAGGGGTTCCTTGTTCGAGTAACTCCTTGACAGCCTGCATTCCTGCTTGGCTTTCAATCAATCTGGCTGACCCTCTGTGATTCCACACACATCTGTGTGGCCTTGGTTTTCTGCCTTGCCTATTTCTCTTCCATCATTTACATGTTCCACACGTACGATGTTTAACAATTGTTTTAATAACTTTATTGCCATACTCACGCTTGCTCATCAGAAATGTTTGACCTACATGTACAGACATATAAATATTTTGCTTTTTTATATCAAAGAAAAATAGAAATTAGACGTGGAGAAATTGATTAAAATTGCCCTAGTGGTTTCAGACAAAAAGATCTCTATTAAATGATTTAAGAAATAATTCATGGTAGCCAATATTTATATTGTTTTTACCACAGTTAGGCACTTTATCAACTTGACAATCAATAGGCTTCATGATTTTGTAAGAGCTAAGTATGTACCAAATGGAATGATGGACATTCTAATGCAATTATTTTGTATCAATGGTTCTGATTGGATGACAGTAAGCGTACAATCCTCTATCTCCTTGTCTGTAACTAAGGAAGCCGACATTTTGAATTCCGGAATGTATTGACATGTAATTTCTCCAATAATAAGCAAAAAAACTTACATTTTGCACCTACAAATTTTCTTTTTATCAAATTTTATTCCATTCTGAAGCGGACAAGAAGCCAGAAAACGCCCGGTGTTTACGTTTGATGCCGGAAGCTTACCTATGACGTAACATAGTTTAGGCGCCAAAGAAGATAACATTATTTCGCGGAATTTTTGTTTAATGAAAATTTTACAGTGAAATAATGACTTAAATTCAACGATTTGTTTCTTTTGCATTAGAATAGAGATAAATATCCGTTTACCTGTCTCCGCTACGCGTCGCCAGGTAAACTCAATTTGCGACAGTAAAACTACCGATGGACGTCCGCAAAGCTTCAAATACAATACAGTTATCTCTTAAGTAGCGTGACTAAATCCCTGTCTGTCAATGTCTGTCAAAATGTTATGATTTAAAAAAAATTAAATATACATTACCAGTTAAACTATCAAATCCCCTTTTCTGCCATCCATGGTCAGCACAAACAGTCATTCCAGAAAAATTAACAGCAGGCACAGATTCATTTCTGTCGAAAAAAGCAAACAAATTTAAAGATACACACTAAAGAACAACAATCAACATGTCAATATTTTAGTGGAAGAAATCATACAGGCAGGCTAAAAAAGTTTGTATATTCTTCACATAAAAAAAACATGGTGGAACGTTGTGTTATTGCAAATGACGGTGTCTAAACTGAGACACTTTTCTGGACATTTTGAATTAAAATAATTCATGGTAGCCCCTAATTATATTGTTTTTACCACGGTTGAAGCTCAGGGTAAAATAATTGTCATAAGGTGCCTTACCATGGTAAAAACAATATAAATAGGGGCTACAATGAATTATTTCTTAAGTAATGGAGATTGCACTGTAATTTTCAAGATGAACAACAATAAAAGGGCTATTCCTTTGCTTCAACTTTCTGTTTTGTCTCGTGATCTGGTTCACCATACCCCTTCATATCCATCATGATCATCTATAAGTACATTATTGAAGATATTTCTTTCACTTTCAAGATGAAGAACAGCATTAAAAGCATTGTTTAACCCCGCCACATTCTGTATGTATGTGCCTGTCCCAAGTCAGGAGCCTGTAATTCAGTGGTTGTCGTTTGTTTATGTGTTACATATTTGTTTTTTGTTCATTTTTTGTACATAAATAATTAAGGCCGTTGGTTTTCTCGTTTGAATTGTTTTACATTGTTATTTCGGGGCCTTTTATAGCTGACTATGTGGTATGGGCTTTGCTCATTGTTGAAGGTCGTACAACATCTTCTTTTTTATTTTTTCCTATGTTTAAATTATATATTTATGTAAATTCTGGATTTTGTGTCAATCTAATTTTCACCATATCCTTTCTTATGTTTACATTGTGTAATTAAAAGATCTATTTTCATCCTCTGCAGCATTCCTGTAACATATTAAATACACATTTTCTATTAATGAAATTCACATCAATTGAACCAAGTTCAAACAGCAATAAAGTTAACGTTACACCAATTCCTATGATAACCCATTTTTGAGCTTAAAATGTAAATTCGGAAACTATTTGCAAATATTGTGATAGAATGAAAATTGCAATGATTTAAGATTTGTTATAAAAAATTTATTAAAACCATCAATATATTCTGCATTACTATTAACTAACATTCTATGATACAATTTTCATGATTCCTAATAACAATCACACACAAAATTCACCCCCCCCCCCAAACTCTTATTCATTTGATTAATAAAATGCTTCGCTGGGGCGCAGCTTGATACGACAACAGAGGTCGAACCCTGAACAGTTGGGGCAAGTATGGATACAGCATCCAAGCTTGATACAGCACTGAATTTGGATTGTAATTAAATATTTGACACAGCATAGGTTTCTGACACAGAAGGAATGTGGTCTAAGAACTTAAAAAATTTTAATTTACCTATTCAAACCATATCATTATTATTTGCTTTTATATATAAATCAGAAATAACCAATTTAAAATGGAAAATTTTAAAGAAAAAAAATGAAAAAAAATCCCCCCCCCCCAATATTTTGAACCCCCTTATGATTCATCAGCCCAAACTCACTCCCAGCCTTCCCTTTGTGGTATGGTACCTTGCAGTACAATTTCAGAGAGATCCATACACTTGAACACAAGTTATTGTCTAGAAACTAGAAAAATGCTTGTTTTTTGGCCCCTTTTTGGCCCCAAATTCCTAAACGTTTTGGGCAATTACCCCTAAACTCAAACCCAGCTTTCCCTTTGTGCTATGGAACCTTGCGGTACAATTTCATAAAGATCCATACACTTACACACAAGTTATTGTCCTGAAACTAGAAAAATGCTTGTTTTTTTGCGCTTTTATGGCCTTTAATTCCTAAAATTTTGAAGGAATTACCCCCAAAATCAATCCCAGCCTTCCCTTTGTGGTATGGTATCTTGCAGTACAATTTCAGAGAGATCCATGCACTTGAACACAAGTTATTGTCTGGAAACTAGAAAAATGCTTATTTTTGGCCCCTTATTCCTAAACGTTTTAGGCAATTACCCCCAAACTCAATTCCAGCTTTCCCTTTGTGAAATGGAACCTTGTAGTACAATTTCATAAAGATCCATACACTTCCACACAAGTTATTGTCATGAAACTAGAAAACTGCTTGTTTTTTGCCCCTTTTTGGCCCCTAATTCCTAAAATTTTGAGGCAATTACCCCCAAAATCAATCCCAGCATTTCCTTTGTCATATGGAACCTTGTGGTACAATGTCAGATAGATTCATACACTTACACACAAGTTATTGTCATGAAACTAGAAAAATGCTTGTTTTTTGCCCCTTGTTGTCCCTTAATTCCTACAATTTGGAGGCAATTACCCCCAAAATCAATCCCAGCATTCCCTTTGTGATATGGAACCTTGTGGTACAATGTCAGAGAGATCCATACACTAACACACAAGTTATGTCTGAAAGTTACAAAAATGCTTATTTTTGGCCCCTTTTTGGTCCCTAATTCCTAAAATTTGGAGGCATTTACCCCCAAAATCAATCCCAGCATTCCCTTTGTGATATGAAACCTTGTGGTACAATGTCAGAGAGATCCATACACTAACACACAAGTTATGTCTGGAAGTTACAAAAATGCTTATTTTTGGCCCCTTATTCCTTAACTGTTGGTACCATAACCCCCAAAATCAATCCCCATCTTCCTTTTGTGGTATTGAACCGTATGGTAAAATTTCATAGAGATCCATCCAATTAAACTAAAGTTAGAGTGCAAAAACCAATGTATCTCCGGACGACGACGGACGACGACGACGCCAACGCCATACCAATATACGACCCCAAAATTTTTTTGCGGTCGTATAAAAGTGACTGTTTATAAGCAATAGTACTATAACTCGTCACTTTTGAACTTCAATAAAAAGGTGTTTAATTACATGTTCGAAATGTGTGTTAAGGTCATGCATTTGTCCAAAAATTTCCCTTCTTTAAAATAAAAAAAAAACCTCATATTTGTGTATGCTATCTGCATGTATGATGTCTGGCAAAAATTAAAAAATACATGTTTACATGAAAACTAACCTCATTTCAGCTTCAAATGCCTCTCTGCATCTTTGATCCATACTTAAATTGGCAAAACCTTCTATCATTTCTCCTGCTCTCCTTTCCATAACTTTTAAATTCTTATGAGAAATAGGTGGTAGGTTCAAAGTGGATAGTACATTGTTTACCCTCTGAGGACCACCTACAGTACAACCTGTGACTTCCTCTTAGTTATGTCCACCCTCTTGTATGGTCACCATCGAATGGTGGCCATTTATTGGGGTATCCAATCTTGAGATGTTGGCCATTTATTGGGGTCATAAAACATAGGTTGATGTTTTATCTATTTATGTTACCTGTTGAAATCAATCAGGGTCGAAGTTTTCAGCTTGTATGTTTCATTAAAATTTACCTGTACAGGTAACTCAGGTGTCTTCTCAAATTGACATTTCACCTTTTCTTGAAAATGTAGAATAGAATGTTTGTTTTAGTCTTTGTTAATTCATATCATTTGTTGATTTTTCTGTCTTTAAATTTACATATTTTCCTTTTTTTCTAATGTTTTTATTTTTTTATGTTATAATTTTTATTTGTTTTTTTGCTTCTTATTCTTTTAATTTCTTCTTGGAAAGAATCTTTAGTAGAAATGACAAAAATTCAAATATAAGTTATTGACAAAAGAAAGAATCCTTCAAATAATTATTTTTTCAGTAAACAAAATGTTATTGTACATGATGTACATGGTATTCTATTGTTTGTTTGCATTATTTAATGAATTATTATTAATTATAACTTATAATCATGCAAATGATATGTTTAAAGGAACCATGAAGCAAGTAATTTAACAAGCCAGTTTATTCACAAAGTTAAATTATCAATATCATGAATATCAATCCTTTTATAATAAATTTTGTTAACAAAGTTGTACAATCTATTATCATGATTATTATTCAGGAAAACTACAAATATCATTATATGGTATAGGAATAAACTATTTTTGTTTATCTTTGATATTTTTCAAATCTCAACACGAGTTTTGCATCAAAAATCACTGAAGAGACTTACAAAGAAATTATTTAAAAAATAAATTGTCTTGCTTTTTGAAACAATTGTAAACTTATCAAATATGTTATCTTCAGTTTGGCTAATTTTGTCAGTTAACAGGCAAAATTTGTCTCCAGAAAAAATAAAGTACACTTCTATACAGATTGTGACATGTTTATGGTCTATTAATTAGATCACTTTTTGCAATTGTTCTGTGTATTAAACTGCAGGACTGGCATATGCATGATACATAGTCTTGGTATACATTTGCAAAGAATATTTCACTCAACTCAGGCCTTTTAGATAAAGTTAATAATTGCAGGGACTTGAATGAATTAGATTCTTTAAAGCCCTTGATTAAAAATGAATTTTAAGGAACAAAATAAGAATATTTTTGAAAATAAAATAAAAACTTATGATGAAAACAGTAAACTCAAATGCCTCACTAAGTAAAGAATTAGTGGTCATAATTTAGAAATAGAAAATGGTGAATAAAAATTCCTATAAAGGATATAATTGTTTGTAAAATTAACATAACTTAGAGATAATCTATTTGAAAATTGTTTACCTTCTCATAATAATGTCTCTGACCAGTTTATGAAAACAATCTTGAATCTCATGAATAAAATCTTAACCAAGAACAAAAAGTAAAAGAAATGCTAAACCTCTATAACATGGAACATGTTTAAAATATTGGCTCCTTTATAAAAGAAAGTCATTAGAACTGAGGGCAGAAACCTAATAACTTTTTTCGATGTGTTTTGATTTCTTATAGAATTGTTATTTCTTTGCATTATAATGTTTGTTTTGGGTTTTTTTTTTGTGTCAGGAACTTGATTAAATTGTAATATGTTTATATGACAATGAAAAAATTATCAAACTTTTCTGTAATGAATATTTTGAATATACATGTATTTATTCAATAGAGAAATAATGAATTGCCTAAATTTTATTTAGAATAA